TGTAGGTAAGTAGTTAGTTTGTTAGTTTACATACTACTTTATCATTGTAATAATAATCACACCATTTCAATATGTGTATGTTATGTAATTTGTAAATGTTACATAACTTGATTTGTGAAGTTTTGTACGAGAGTATTCAGCATAAACTCTACTACATACCGCTGCCCTTGTGCTGTTTTATGTATTAAATTATCGCGCATTTTAATGGGTTGCAGGAGTGGAGTTAAGGATATATTAGGGCCCGAAATATTTACATTCATACATACGTACATATATTGTTGCTTAAATAATACAATTTTATATACCCTACACCATAATAGTGGGGTCGATTTATACATTTGAGCTGATGTTTGGAACGCAAAGTATACCAATCGTCATAGAATAATTTTCAGGGTCGATTAAGCCATTTCCGTCCTTCTATCTGTCATTTGTATAGGTATCAATTCGATGGAATTTGGTATACGCAAATTTTTTGGTCAAGAATGAACTCTATTGGTTTAAATCGGTACAATATTTCACTCCATTCAACGGCACCACCCTAATATGGCTTTCGATTAATTTTAATCGAATTATGTTAATTATGTTAAATTTTACCAAAATTGACTCAGCTAGGTTTTATAAAAGTAATAATCATATTGTTCAGTTCTAGTTCAGTTCTAGTTCAGTTCTAGTTCAGTTCTAGTTCAGTTCTAGTTCAGTTCTAGTTCAGTTCTAGTTCAGTTCTAGTTCAGTTCTAGTTCAGTTCTAGTTCAGTTCTAGTTCAGTTCTAGTTCAGTTCTAGTTCAGTTCTAGTTCAGTTCTAGTTCAGTTCTAGTTCAGTTCTAGTTCAGTTCTAGTTCAGTTCTAGTTCAGTTCTAGTTCAGTTCTAGTTCAGTTCTAGTTCATCGTTCAGTTCTAGTTCAGTTCTAGTTCAGTTCTAGTTCAGTTCTAGTTCAGTTCTAGTTCAGTTCTAGTTCAGTTCTAGTTCAGTTCTAGTTCAGTTCTAGTTCAGTTCTAGTTCAGTTCTAGTTCAGTTCTAGTTCAGTTCTAGTTCAGTTCTAGTTCAGTTCTAGTTTCAGTTATAGTTCAGTTCTAGTTCAGTTCTAGTTCAGTTCTAGTTCAGTTCTAGTTCAGTTCTAGTTCAGTTCTAGTTCAGTTCTAGTTCAGTTCTAGTTCAGTTCTAGTTCAGTTCAGTTCAGTTCTAGTTCAGTTCTAGTTCAGTTCTAGTTCAGTTCTAGTTCAGTTCTAGTTCAGGTCTAGTTCAGTTCTAGTTCAGTCTAGTTCAGTTCTAGTTCAGTTCTAGTTCAGTTCTAGTTCAGTTCTAGTTCAGTTCTAGTTCAGTTCTAGTTCAGTTCTAGTTCAGTTCTAGTTCAGTTCTAGTTCAGTTTCTAGTTTCAGTTCTAGTTCAGTTCTAGTTCAGTTCTAGTTCAGTTCTAGTTCAGTTCTAGTTCAGTTCTAGTTCAGTTCTAGTTCAGTTCTAGTTCAGTTCTAGTTCAGTTCTAGTTCAGTTCTAGTTCAGTTCTAGTTCAGTTCTAGTTCGTTCTAGTTCAGTTCTAGTTCAGTTCTAGTTCAGTTCTAGTTCAGTTCTAGTTCAGTTCTAGTTCAGTTCTAGTTCAGTTCTAGTTCAGTTCTAGTTCAGTTCTAGTTCAGTTCTAGTTCAGTTCTAGTTCAGTTCTAGTTCAGTTCTAGTTCAGTTCTAGTTCAGTTCTAGTTCAGTTCTAGTTCAGTTCTAGTTCAGTTCTAGTTCAGTTCTAGTTCAGTTCTAGTCAGTTCTAGTTCAGTTCTAGTTCAGTTCTAGTTCAGTTCTAGTCAGTTCTAGTTCAGTTCTAGTTCAGTTCTAGTTCAGTTCTAGTTCAGTTCTAGTTCAGTTCTAGTTCAGTTCTAGTTCAGTTCTAGTTTCAGTTCTAGTTCAGTTCTAGTTCAGTTCTAGTTCAGTTCTAGTTCAGTTCTAGTTCAGTTCTAGTCAGTTCTAGTTCAGTTCTATGTTTCAGTTCTAGTTCAGTTCTAGTTCAGTTCTAGTTCAGTTCTAGTTCAGTTCTAGTTCAGTTCTAGTTCAGTTCTAGTTCAGTTCTAGTTCCAGTTCTAGTTCAGTTCTAGTTCAGTTCTAGTTCAGTTCTAGTTCAGTTTCTAGTTCAGTTCTAGTTCAGTTCTAGTTCAGTTCTAGTTCAGTTCTCGTTCAGTTCTAGTTCAGTTCTAGTTCAGTTCTAGTTCAGTTCTAGTTCAGTTCTAGTTCAGTTCTAGTTCAGTTCTAGTTCAGTTCTAGTTCAGTTCTAGTTCAGTTCTAGTTCAGTTCTAGTTCAGTTCTAGTTCAGTTCTAGTTCAGTTCTAGTTCAGTTCTAGTTCAGTTCTATTTCAGTTCTAGTTTAGTTCTAGTTCAGTTCTAGTTCAGTTCTAGTTCAGTTCTAGTTCAGTTTCTAGTTCAGTTCTAGTTTAGTTCTAGTTCAGTTCTAGTTCAGTTCTAGTTCAGTTCTAGTTCAGTTCTAGTTCAGTTCTAGTTCAGTTCTAGTTTTTCAGAATAAATGTAATTTTCATTTTCGACAGCTACTTCCATTTTGGGGGCCATCTTAATGTACATACAAACAGACAGACGGACATATTAATAAAGGCCCATCAACAACCCACCAAAAAACCTTAACTTCTTCATTTATTAATTATTAAAACTACTTACAACATTATGATCTCCCAAAGGTATGACTTACTTTTCAATTTGTATAAAACTTATGTATTCTAAGTATGTATTCTGTTTGCATACACTGATATATATTTTTGAATGTTTGCCTTCTGATATTTGTGCTTTTGTGTCGATAGTTTCTTATTTTTCCCCATTTTGCTTTATTTTATTAGCTAACCACCCAACCATTTCTGCCACTAAAATGGTTAAGTAGTGTAAGCATAAGTAGTTTTAAGTGATTTAATTATGTCAACAGGGATTACGCAGCAAAAGTTTATTTTTTTGTGTGTGTTGTGCCGAGTGTATGTACTACATATGTAGTTAAATACAAATAATATAAAAAGATATAATATTAGTTAATAAATATATGTACATAAATAATGTTCTTTCGCAGGTTTATAACATTTTGTGTTAATACAAAAGTTGGGGTGAAACTTTTTCTCGAACGATTCTTCTTAATAAATTTGACTACTTTTTCAAGCTTCTTGTCATAATGATACAGAGATTTGGTTTTAATGGAAAAATTCATAAAATACATTCTAGGAAAATTTTTGGTTGCCTAAAGTAAATATTTAGTTTAAGTTTTAATAGCAGTAAATTTTTTTTGGGTATTTTGTTATGACTATATTTGTGGATGTGAGATTAAGAAAATGCCTAAGTTTTTTAAATGTTAAATAACTAACAGTCAATATTTTTAAAAAGCCATTGATATTGTATTAATAAATACATTTTATAAATATGGCATAATTTTAGGTGTTTTCAAAATATGTACACGTACATTAAATTTTTTTTAATTTGTTACGGTTTATGAGATTCATATAGTCACTGACGCGATTATCTATTAAACGTTTATTTAGCTTAAATAACTTATCAAACTTTGTAGACATTTAATTGTTCAGCGTTATTATTAACATGCTTAAAATGTGCTCAAAAATTAACTGTATTTTGGTGAATTTCGATATGTTTGTAATACTGTAGAATAAGAAATTTTAGGTTCAATGACTACCTCACATCAGATAGATTGATTTTCTGAAAGTGAGGGAAGGTGTTGAAATCAATAATGGAATTAAAACATTTCTAATTTTTTTACGGTTTGTGAGATTCATGTGTATTCGTTGTATCGATTATCTGTTAAATGCTCATTTAAATTAAATAAATTGCCAAACTTTGTAGACATTTAATTGTTTAAAATTATTGCTAAATGTTATAAACATTTAATTGTTTAAAATAATTATAAACATATTTCAAACGTGCTCAAAAAATAACTGTTTTCTTTTTTTGCGTTATTAGATATTTTGATGACAAATAACTAAAAAATGAAACTGCGGACTGATCCTTAAGATTCATTCATTCACTAGATTGATGATAAATTACTATATTACCTATATGTATGGGCAATTTCATGTCAAGTGACCCAACTTTTAAAATAGATGTCTTCCGATTTAAATGAAATTTTCACCAAGATTAGTACAGATACTAATTTTCAATATCTGTCAAGTACTGCCGGAGTTAGAGGGGGTCAAAGTTTGACATTTTGGTCATACAGGGTTTTTTTAAATGGGTGTGACTTTTCACCTATTGGTCTTAGAAAAAATTGTCCAAAAGGATTCAGATAGCTATTGCTTCATTGTTTCCAAAAAAAATTAAAAGTAATATTTTAACTCAAAAGCTTTGCTTTTCGATGTTCAGAAACTCAGTTTCCTGGACGAAATTCCTAGGAATCTTCCAATCGGTGCTAGTCAGGAATGTAATTTCCGAAATAACATCACTTCCAATGGCAAAGAAAGTGCTCCAGAGTTTCACTGTCCTCTACACATTCTCTACATACCATCATACTATCTTCAGACTTTCTCATTTTGAGGAGATTTCTCGTCTTGCTCTCATCAATGTCATACCATAGGATCTTTGTGGTTCTACTCACCGTTTCATTATTCCATGAGACCTTATGAGATTCTCTCACCCATATTTTTAATTCAGCTTTTGTTGCGTCGAATTGTTTTGCGTTTGTCCGGTTAACTGCCTCGAGTTCCCTTCCCTTTAAAGGTATTATTAACTTACATGGTTATGACTTGTACTTACTCTACAAATTACTTTTCAATGACTACTACATACAGTTTGGATTATTTAGAAGGAGTCTAGTAATGACTTACAAATAATATTATATATAAATACTTACTTTTTAGCCCTGACATATAAATTTTCTCAAAAACAAAACTACTTAATGAACTTCTTATTTGCAGACGATCGTAGTAAGTACTTATTTAACTTCCTATTTGTAAGCGAGCGTGGTAAGTATTTGGCTCCAATGTTATCAATACTTCATTGCAATAAACAAACATATTTAAAAATCCAAAGTTTAAATTAAAATTTTTTTTTATTAATATAAATATTTATATTATTTTATTTTCTTAACTCTAAAACAGTTACATATTTACAAAATACAACGACACAATTAACTGAAAAATTAGTTTAACCATAGAAACCGCCATAACCTCCATAGTATGGACGACCATAATAACCGCCATAGTAAGGGCGACCGTAGCCGCCATAATAACCACCATAGTAGGGACGACGGTAACCGCCAAAGCCATAGCCTCCATAATAGGGACGGCCATAGTAGCCAACACCAAAGAATTGACGCGCTTGGCGGGCACTCTCATTGCTGTGCTCCTCAACACCTGTGTCTACATCAAATAAAGTTTCAGCGACTGCAGTTTCTGGTTCAGGTTGTATTGCTACAGCAGCAGACCAGGCCAAGGCCAAAAAGCAGGCCAAAATAGCGAACAATAATAGAGAGCGCATTTTGTGTTATTTTATTAAAATTAGCACCTATTCCAAAATGTTGTTTATTTATTAAATTTTTTTGTTAAATAAACCGACAATTGGTTTATTTTATTTTTTAAGAATGTTCTTAACTCGCAACCTTAAGTTTTACGTATGACGAGTGTTGTAGACAACAACTTGCTTTTTATACAACTGTCTAAAACTGGGTACTAAAAAGTGAGAATTTGTATTATATTTTTTAAGTGACGTTTGTGATTCCCAAAATAACAATAACAAAAACACGCACATAACGCACACATATTAACATACGAATGCTCATATGGATTTTACAAATCCATTTAGTAAATTATTATTGTTGATCGCAAGTAGTATCTACGATTCACTAGTGCAAATAAATTTAATATGTATGTATCTTGATGAACAATTTTTTGAAAAACAAAATTATATTTATTGCGAAAACCAACATCTAGAAATTGTTTTTGTATTTAAATTTATATACTATATTGGATATAGGTATATGTATGTATTTTGTGGTCAGTTATTGGAAACGCGATTAATTCAAATTTAAACAATCGCACATGTACTGGTAAATTTAATTCGTCTAGTAAACAATGTTTTTGTACGTCTCTGATTGTCTTTCTCATTACACAGGCCAACAAATTTTGTAACCCAGATACCAAAGTATACATTTCTAAACCGAAATTTCTTCATTATGTTTAGAGATATCGTGTCCTAAAATAAAAAATCACACTATTATTACTTCTTAAATATGGCCAAAACGGTGTTTCCATATTTTTTACATGATATCTGAGAAACCTGATTTGATTCGGATTCTGCCAAAGGATTTGGAATGTGTAACGTAAATCTCTGGGTTTTGACTTTTTAACATTTTGTTGTCTTGTGTTATTGAAAAATAAAATTAAGTATTTATTTATAAAATATTTAATATTTTTTTATTTCCATTAAAAATCTATTGTTTAATGTTTTTGTTTTTTAGTATTCCTAAATTATTAATATGTTCGAATGAATGTGATATGATACATGCTTTAACACTTTTACTTGTAAATATCTCAAATATTATTGTTCGTCTGAATATTTTGTAATATTTCAATGAAACTATTAATTTAAAACAATTAAGGGCCTAGTTATAGAGTACTAGGCCTTAATATATTTTTTTTTGATTTTAATTAAATTTTGTCATAAACGATGGAACAGGTAAAACAAGGAAAAATCTAACGGGTTTTTGACCCCGAGTAAAAATAAGTATTAAAGTGTTTCCATAAAAAAACCAAAAATATTGGTCCTATTCCCATCTTAAAGTATACAGATCCAGAATCACTTTCATAAGCTATGTCCGCCTGTGTGTCTATGTAAACCTTGTGCACACGCTACAAGTCGAAATTTTCAAGATAATTTGATGGCACATACAATTTGGCCTAAGAAGGAAGACTATTGAAATCTGTGCATTATTTCACCTAGGCCCCATACAACAGTACCCCCCGAATAGGGCTCTTGAGCTCATAATTATGTAAAATGTTCCAGTATCACTACAAAAATCGCCGCAACTTAGTTTTGTATAAGTCTATATATTACAGCCGATTTTCTTAATGACCTTGCCTCATTTGGCACTAGCTCCCATACAAAGTCCCCTTCATGAAATGACTAGAAGGTCAATAATTCTCTTATAAACCCTAGTATCACGAATAAATTTTGCTTCTATCTATCTATCTATCTATCTATCTATCTATCTATCTATCTATCTATCTATCTATCTATCTATCTATCTATCTATCTATCTATCTATCTATCTATCTATCTATCTATCTATCTATCTATCTATCTATCTATCTATCTATCTATCTATCTATCTATCTATCTATCTATCTATCTATCTATCTATCTATCTATCTATCTATCTATCTATCTATCTATCTATCTATCTATCTATCTATCTATCTATCTATCTATCTATCTCTCTATCTATCTATCTATCTATCTATCTATCTATCTATCTATCTATCTATCTATCTATCTATCTATCTATCTATCTATCTATCTATCTATCTATCTATCTATCTATCTATCTATCTGTCTATCTATCTATCTATCATATCTATCTATCTATCTATCTATCTATCTATCTATCTATCTATCTATCTATCTATCTATCTATCTATCTATCTATCTATCTATCTATCTATCTATCTATCTATCTATCTATCTATCTATCTATCTATCTATCTATCTATCTATCTATCTATCTATCTATCTATCTATCTATCTATCTATCTATCTATCTATCTATCTATCTATCTTATCTATCTATCTATCTATCTATCTATCTATCTATCTATCTATCTATATATCTATCTATCTATCTATCTATCTATCTATCTATCTATCTATCTATCTATCTATCTATCTATCTATCTATCTATCTATCTATCTATCTATCTATCTATCTATCTATCTATCTATCTATCTATCTATCTATCTATCTATCTATCTATCTATCTATCTATCTATCTATCTATCTATCTATCTATCTATCTATCTATCTATCTATCTATCTATCCATCTGTACATATCTGTTGGCATAAACATATATTTATTGGTGCCATTCTAATACCCCATAAAAAAGTTTATAACAGAACACCACTTTTTAGTGTTTTTTATGAATTACTACTTATTAAGAATTTCTAAAAATCTCAAACAACTCATTCTCTAACCCCAAAATACGTATTTTCCAATAATACCATATATTTATAATATTAGCGTAAGGTTGTGAAATAATAATTGACAATAGACTAGAATCATGGCAATAAATAGAATTACAATAGAAACAAAATCAAAAAATTCTATATAAGAAAATAAATAATATTAAAAGTATAAATACAAATACAAAATAAGAAAACGAAATATTAAGCATAAACAAGTAATTGAAAAGTCATTTGTCTGTAGAAATAATAAAATCCCGGAATATGTATGAGGCAAAATAATATTTATATAAACTTGAGTACATTAAGTACGTTTTTTACTTTAAGTAGGAAGTATTTCAGAACGGTCGGAACATTTAACACGAAGTAAATATTAGTTTAACTCTTAAACATTAAAGAAATATTTTACTAAAAATCAAATATTGATTTGACTTTAGGCGACCCTTTTAAAGAACAATCTACAAAATTACGGATAAATATTAATTTTTTGTGATCACACATATTCCGTGAAATGCTTCAAAAAAATGTGAAGATAACAATAAGTTTCAAATTTGTTCCTTTCAACAAATACTGCAAAAAAATATTTGAAAAGCATTTTAAATTCGTTGCATTCTTATTTCATTTTAACGCATCTTTAAAAAATTAATATGATTAGCATGCATGAATTATTTAATTTGTTTGTGTAAAATAAATATTAATTAACATTCAATTAAAGTTGGTAAATACTTATTTCCGAAATGTGTTCTAAAATGCACAATCCCTTAGCTGAAGATGTTAATTACTTTATGACTAAGTTATTTTAAATTTTCAAACAACATAAATATTTATTTGTTAGTGAATATTTTAATAAAATATTTCTACATGACTTCTAAACATTATTAATGACTTAAGTGTAATTTTGAATTTTAAATAAACGTGCTTCTCGAAGAGCTATTAGTTAAATTAAAACTTTACATTAATATTCATAGTTTTGAATTTTTATTTTTATTTATCTAGTGTCAAAAAATATCAAACTCTTCAAAATATATTTATAATATTTATACAGTTGTTATCAGTTTATAAGCCAAGTTGTTAAAATGTCATAAATATGCAAAATAAACTTTCACAATATTGCCACTAATTCTGAAATATTGTAATTTTTTTTTTATTTTTCACTTAATTTGTTGTTCTTATATTAGCTAAAAATATATTTAATATGTACATTAGGATGGCTCTGTTTGTTTGGGGAACTGATATTCCCACCGAATAACAAAGTTTATTTTTAACTAATTAACTACTAACTAACTAACTAACTAACTAACTAACTACTACTAACTAACTAACTAACTAACTAACTAACTAACTAACTAACTAACTAACTAACTAACTAACTAACTAACTAACTAACTAACTAACTAACTAACTAACTAACTAACTAACTAACTAACTAACTAACTAACTAACTAACTAACTAACTAACTAACTAACTAACTAACTAACTAACTAACTAACTAACTAACTAACTAACTAACTAACTAACTAACTAACTAAACTAACTAACTAACTAACTAACTAACTAACTACTAACTAACTAACTACTAACTAACTAACTAACTAACTAACTAACTAACTAACTAACTAACTAACTAACTACTAACTAACTAACTAACTAACTAACTAACTAACTAACTAACTAACTAACTAACTAACTAACTAACTAACTACTAACTAACTAACTAACTAACTAACTAACTAACTACTAACTAACTAACTAACTAACTAACTAACTAACTAACTAACTACTAACTAACTAACTAACTAACTAACTAACTAACTAACTAACTAACTAACTAACTAACTAACTAACTAACTAACTAACTAACTAACTAACTAACTAACTAACTAACTAACTAACTAACTAACTAACTAACTAACTAACTAACTAACTAACTAACTAACTAACTAACTAACTAACTAACTAACTAACTAACTAACTAACTAACTAACTAACTAACTAACTAACTAACTAACTAACTAACTAACTAACTAACTAACTAACTACTAACTAACTAACTAACTAACTAACTAACTAACTACTAACTAACTAACTAACTAACTAACTAACTAACTAACTAACTAACTAACTAACTAACTAACTAACTAACTAACTAACTAACTAACTAACTAACTAACTAACTAACTAACTAACTAACTAACTAACTAACTAACTAACTAACTAACTAACTAACTAACTAACTAACTAACTAACTAACTAACTAACTAACTAACTACTAACTAACTAACTAACTAACTAACTAACTAACTAACTAACTAACTAACTAACTACTAACTAACTAACTAACTAACTAACTACTAACTAACTAACTAACTAACTAACTAACTAACTAACTAACTAACTAACTAACTAACTAACTAACTAACTAACTAACTAACTAACTAACTAACTACTAACTAACTAACTAACTAACTACTAACTAACTA